ACTTTGATATCGTTATATTTTAACGATTTAAGTGATTTTCGAACGATTACCTTATATGAGGGCTGTGACCAAAATTGAGCCAATTCGAACATGATTTATCGATACACAAAGCAGCAATACTCATTTATTAATTAAATATGTCCGTTTACGTGATTTTCGGAAGTGGACAATATACAGGGGCTTTGACCAATTATTGACCGATCCGAAAACAAATTCTCAGATAGATTAATATATCGTCACCTGAAATGCAAACGGCCCTAACTAACCAAAAATTCAAAATCGATTTTATTGGTGATTCTAATGTATTGCATCAAAACAAATGTCCACACCAAAAATTGGACCCCTCTGACCATAATTATCGATTTTATTGACAGAAAACAAAAGGCCCTATCTACAAAAACATTTAAATATTAAAGGTAAAAAGTCCAATTTATCCATTTTTATATACGCCATTGTCAACTATCATAACAAATGATAGGTTTCACTATTAAACAATTTGTTTATTTACTACAAATAATTCGCGTTGATAGAAACAAACTTTTCAATTTAAATATTTTTTTGCTTCTCCTGTAAAATTTTAAAAATGTTAGATAGGGCCGTTTGCGTTTTAGGTGACGATATATACATAACACATTTCTGTATATTTTTATTGCGATATCTTTAATTCTTAATTAATTTTGGATCGATTGTTATGATTTTATACAGAATTTATTCTTGGGCCACAGATAGATTAATATATATACATACATATGTACATAACAATTTCTGTCTATTTTTATTGCGATATCTTTAATTCTTAATTAATTTTGGATCGATTGTTATGATTTTATACAGAATTTATTCTTGGGCCACAAAATGACGTGTGACAACATTAATTGTATTATCTGTGGTAGTTTCTGGGTAAACAACTGAAGAAGGAGGAAAAACTTAATTTTTTTCGATGTTGTCAGAAATTTTTACTCGTTAATTTTTATGTAAAGGACCGATTTTGCTGGTTTTCAATACCAAACTGCTTAGAATAATAATGAATATTTCAGATGAATTTCATTAATTTATATTGCTTTGTTTTAACGCGAACGTGTTTAAAAAAGACATAGATTTCATAAGTACACGGAATATACACATAAACTTGGGGCCTCAGATGAATATTTATTGATGTTACACTCGGAATGACAAAGTTATATAAAGCCTCAATCACCACTGATGGCGGTGCAGGGTATAAAAAATGAGTAGAAGTCATAAAAATCCCCAAAAATTAATTCAGAAAAGCAATAAACAGTTAAAATACAGTTAGCTAGAGCATATAAATTTCTAGAGTCTAGACTATAAAGAACACAGTTAATATATATCAGACGAAAACACTAAACTATTAAGAATTTGCCAGCTAAATATAACTGTAGAAATACAAAACAAATTTAAGAAAGTTAACTATAAAAAAGAGATCATTTTCAAAAATTTCAAAAAAAAAAAAAAAAATTCAACGATTTTAACAATATTTCGGATTAGTTTTATAATTATTTCCTTCGAATATAAAAATTATGTACCTTTTTCATACCATAAATTACATTACAACAAATTTTCTTGTTAAATTTTTCTACGATTGCACCAATAATTCCCGACTTATGTCTAAAATCATTTTTATCTTATAAATATTTCGGGGAGTGTATATGGAACATTAATTTGGTGGAGTTTTATAAAATTAAGAGGTGACAATAAAAAAGACCTGTGTTGTATGGAAATTTATTAACGCACAAATTAACATCATAACTCCTAAACGGACTACAACAAATACAATTTCTTAATGCTATTTTTTAAGCATATAATATTATAACAACGATTGATAAACTCAAGTTTTGAAGATTTTTTTGAAAAAAAAAATAATTTTTTCTATTGCTATTATGCATTTTAGTGATTTCCAAAAAAATTGTACAGGTAAAAAAAATGCTTAATTCTCCATTTTTAATATGTTCTGTAAATAGGTAGATTTCAGAAAATATCTATAAACTTCTACAACATATGGGGAAGAAGTGAAACTTCCATTATATTTGCATCATAGGAGTAACATTTTTGAAAAATAAAACAAATATTAAGATAAATTTTATTTAGTAAAAAATAACATATAAACTTTATTTTTATTTTTTACAGTTTGGTATATAAATGTTCTAGTGGTTTTTAAAAATTAACATATTAAACTTCTAAAAAATATATGTGTAAATATAAATAAAGGTACAAACATATTTGCTTTATAATTTCTAAGATAATAATTATTGAGGTTGTGAAAGCTTTACTCTTTCTACCATCTTCATAATTATATAAAAATCGATTTGAGCTAAGCAGAGACAACCTTTCAATATCGATCTATTTTTCACATCTGATGAAAGTACATATCGCTCACTTACTTAAAGACTGTCATAATTAAAAAAAGAAAAAACATAGCTTTGAGAAACCCGGCGTGGAATGTTTTATATCGTTTAACTATTTCATATCGCTCACTTAGATTTTTTTAATGTTATTTATCATAACTTTCTATTTTATTTTAATGTTATTTATCACAAATTTGTAAATAATAAATATAAACAAAAATTTAAAATTTTTGAAAACTGGCGTTCGCGTACTTGTAAGGTATTTGTTTTTTTAACTGAGGGCAAATTATAAATTATACTCTATCATAAAGTTATTGGATCTTTTTTACCTAATATATTGTTAAAAACTTCAACTGAATTTTTAATTTAAACAGTTAACAAATTACATTATATATAAAAACTTGTCATAAAAGGCCATTTTAAATAAATTATTTATTTTTTTCCTGATTTGAGAAAAGTACAGAAACGAGGAACTGATATATGTATGTAACATATGTATGTATGTATAAAGGAGAAATTAATAATCTCATTTGAATTTAACTAGTTTTTACTAGTCGTACAATCTTAAGTTTTATGTCTACACCAAAATCACGTTTACACCGAACATAATATAAAACATTTAAAATTATGTAAAACAATATGAAAGACTTTGGCGAAATAAATTTAAAACAAGAAATTTGAGTTGTAACACTCTTCAAGTAAATGAGCGATATGTTATTGTGTGCATTAGTTTCTTTAAATTAGGAACTTTATTTATTCATGTTATTTTAACAATAATATTTATTTATTAATCACATTTTTAAACTGTGATAGGTATGTTTATGTATATACATATGTAAAATCGTTTATTATTAGTCAAAAATTCACGTACGCTTACTGCTTATACATACATAAATGTGTAAATTAAAAAATAAAGGTAGATATTTTGTAAAAAAAATCTTATAATTTAAATCATTAATTTTACTTAGTCGTTTACAAAATGTGTACTATAAAATGATAAAAAACGAAAATAGTTATTCGTCACATGATTCGATTCGTATGTAAAATTGGAGTGAAATTTTACTTAAAAAAAATTAAAACTAAAAAATAATAATTATAATTAGAAGAAGTAGGTAGTATGTTGGTGTTAATCTTCTTTCATGTCCAATGAACAACAGAAACATAAGAACAGTGCGCGAAAAGTGCATTAAAAATCACAGTAAAAATATCAGTACATGTTACACCAGTATTTATGTTAACATTTCACTCTAAATTTTCCGTTTTGACATTCCTTTCCTTAGTATTATTAAATATTTGTCATTAACTCTTTCTAAAATAAATTATAATTGATAAATGTTAAATTTCATTATAAAAAAGGTGTGTAAGAACTGGAAGCAGATTAAAAGTTTTCAATTATTATAAAGTATTAAATATATCTATAGCAGAGGAGTTCAATATTGAGATTTCATAGCACGCGTGATAGGGTAGGAAAATTCTGTTGACGCTACGTTGGCGCAAAGTAAGGTCAAAGTAAGGTCTGTGCGCACCTTTTTTAAAAAATACACAGAAATACAACAACAAAACTTTGAGAAAGCCGATTTAATGTAATCGATTTTATTGTTGATTATAATGTATTGCATCAAAACAAATGTTCACACAACTCATACGATCAGAATAAGCGATTTTATTGACAAAAAACAAACGGCCCTATTTACAAAAACATTTAAATATTAAAGGTAAAAAGTTCAATTTATCCATTTTTATATACGCCATTGTCAACTATCATAACACCTGAAAGGTTTCACTATTAAAAAATTCGTTTATTTACTACAAATAAATTGCGGTGATAGAAACAAACTTTTGAATTTAAATAGTTTTTTGCATCTCCTGTATTTTAAAAATGTTAGATAGGGCCGTTTGCGTTTTAGTTGACGATATACTCTACAGTTTGTAGTCATTTTATTTGTGCACTTTTATTTTGAGATGAATTCTGTTCTCCGCTGCTTTACCAACACAAATAAAACTATGGTAGTCTATGGTAGCATGTGTTTGAGCTCCACTGATCTATAGTTATGTATGTATGCACACATGTACATATATTTTCTCATTTACATCAACTGACTACCAATAAACTCAAAATATATAATTGGAATAATATATACGATGTTCAAAAATAAAAACAAAGTTTTTTAAAATATTAGAATAGCATTGTCACAAAGTAGTTTGTGGGATTGTGATCACTGATACAAAAATCTTCTAAAAAGGTGTGATATCAAAAAATCGGGAAACATTTTGTTTTTTTTTTAACGAATTTATAACGTAAAAATAATCGGAAAATTTTTGAAGTTTTAAATCTAAGAAATGCAATTTTTCGATGCCATAAAAAAATGTATGTGTGATGGTAATTTTTTAAAAATTTGAATAGAAAGTTGTTTGAATAAACATCAAGACAAATTTATTAAAAGAGAAATTTTGTGTTTTTTCTGATCCCGTACTTTTTAAAAGTACTAAGAGAAAATTAATTAATTCTCTTTAGCCAGAAACGCTCCGGAACACAACTAATATTATAAAAGTATATTTTAACTACATTAAGTTTCTACGTTTGCTGAACAATTCAATTGAAGTAAAAATTGTATGATCTAGCACCAAAACATCAAGTTTATTATTAGAATTCAAACAATATATTATTTTATTTTTAAACATTTAAATTTAAAAAAATTACCTGATTGAAAACTTAAATTCTGCTAAAATAATACAGAAAATTGATCTGATTGAAAACTTAAATTCTGCTAAAGTAATACAGAAAATTTTAAGCAAATTGTAAGAAAAAAACTAAATTTAATTTTCGTAGCTCACTTAATCTTTATCACACACTCTCTTGTGATTTTATTAACATTAAAAAAATTACATACATATATAATTGCAGGGTAGGGTGATCAAGTATTCGTCTTCGTGGAAACAGGTTTTTCTATAAACTACAATACAATTAAAAGTACACCAGAATCTAACTGAATAAATAAAAAATATTATTTAGCTTAATAAAAAATATTTCAAAATCCTATATTTCGATTAAAAAAAGACTGAAATAAATAAATAATAAAAAAACTATATTTAATGTAGCTAATAATGAAATATTTCAGTAAATATGACCGAATCGAGCACCCTTTTATACAATCAAAATTTATATTCATTATAATAACACATTCGCACAACATACATACATATATTAAAAAAATATATATAAAGTTTTACAAATTTTATAGCTACATAGGAATTAAAATTATATATATACAAATTTGATCACAATTAGACTTTTGTTAAAACCCTTATAATATTGTTCGTACTGATTAGTAATTCCAGTGCCGTAAATCTTTTCGGATCTTCCACATCATCAACTCTAGGCATGCTCGAGAATCTTCAAAACTACTGTGACCCATATCACCACACTGTATATCTCGTTTTAAAAAGGATTTTGTTAAATTCTTGAGAGATCTTCTATATGGATATCCCGTTGAATGGCTAAATATCACTGACGTGTCCACTATCGTTTTGTGTACTAAACGCAAAACCCTCAAATCATTATCTAAACCATGACCAATGAGGATAGTATCGGCGTCAAAGAGATTTAGCAAGTCTTTTTGTACTTCGGCAAAAGTTTTAATGGAATTATTCGAGTCTGCTGAGAGATCCTTTTCAGAAACCCCCGAAAATCGGGTATTATAATCAATTATTTCGGCTTGAGTTCTCACAAAGTGTTCATACACAAGAGAACCATCATAACCTACAACTGTGACTTTGGTGACCTCCAAACCTAAGCCTGTGTAAGACATTTCACAGTCGATGGCATATACTTTTGAATGCTTTTTAAGACCTTTATCCTTCCGTTGTGTGTGTACAAAATCCGTGTAAGGGCCATTTATGCCAACAACAATACCATTCCAAACATGCAAAGCATGCTGAGAACATCCTTCGCTAAGCTCTTCGCCTTGACAACAAGAATAAATATTGACGTAGCATTTCCCATTGTACACATTACTCAGTTTACCCCAGTGATAAGTACATGATCCGAAAGACAAGTACTCGCCTTCTTCGTTAACTTGGAACATTTTGGAACATCGCACACACTGTTTCTCTATGGAATTACAGTATTCTGAAAATATTTGGTATACGCCATCGGGTGTGTAAAATGCCATTACAGGTGCTATCAATTCATCTTCAGCCATTTCACTTGAATCTGAATCGGTGAAGCGTGGGCTTGATTCGCCAGAACCATGGCCTGAATCGGTTGAACTATTACCATACCATCGTTGACCACAGGAATTCGAGTATAAACCATCACTAACATTAAAGATGTCGGATTTTTTACGACCATAAAAATGACGATGATGTCGTTGGTTGTCTTCAGTCACAGCCTCCTCGGCCAAATGTTTAGGCAAGCATTTAAAAATTTCAATACTACCCTCATGGTGAACTGATTCTACAGGGAAGCCGTATACTCTTAGAAGACTTGGATCGATAACATAGCGTCTCATTTGTTGAACTAATTCCTGCTCATTCATGTTCAATTTAGTAAATTGTTTTAGAGGTGGTATCAATGACTTTGCCGATTTTTTCAAATAATCCGTATTACGTTTACATGCAGTAGGGGATGCCGTGGGTGAGGAATTGACTGATGTAGCGGGAGAATTTGAAGCCGACGATGAAAGCGACGAATTTATAGATGTTGTTGAGGAAGCAGATGACAAGGAATTGCATAGGGATGAATTAGATTCCGAACTTCTTAGACTATGAATATACGACTTCGAGAGTTGCCTATTATTTAAAACTGCCTTCAAAGCAGCAGCAGTTGCGCATTGCTTTCTTAATTTTAGGGCAGCATTAGTTGATGTCTTCTTTGGTCCATTAGATTTTACATTTTCCATAGTTTCATCACCGAGATCCATGAACTCGATATTTCTGTTTATATTAGCAGAATTCGTGGAAGTAAGGGCTTTTTTCCGTTTTTGTTGTTTCCTCTGTCTCAATTTTGTTCCATTTTTTTGTGAACTTGCTTCTATTAAATATGTTAAACACAAATCCTCATTACTTGAACTATAACTAGCCGTTGCTTCACTGGATGTACTGTTACGATGTGCTTGGTTATGACATGGTTTCATTTTATCTAAAAAGAAACGAAAATAATTTACTTTAGTTATTATTGAAATAAATAATGGTTTGGTATTAAAATTTAAATGTTTTATTAAAATTTTTATGTAAGAGTCTAATTTATGGGAGCTACAAACTAAGTCCCTAATGTACTAAATCCGAAACCGCAATGAATTAAGAGACCGGAGACTCGCCACCGCTCATTTATGCGTTTAACACGCCGGTGGCAATTTTTTCAAGGTTCTGCCGGTCCATGTGCAAGCACTTTGCTCAAGAGCTTCAGCTATGTATCTAATCAGAATCTAACCAGAATGAATTTCGGAAATCCAATTTAATATTGAGACATATCAAATTAAATTTAGTAATCAAAGTTGATATTAATTAATTGATTTAATTTATTTCCAAATTAACCTAGTCTTAGACTAGTAGTCTATTGGCCATAATCGGTTACAAATTTCTGCTTAAAAAAAAGAATTTATACATAAGAAATATAATCATATAACAAATAATTAAAAATAAAAAATAACTTAATAATAAAAGAAAAAACAAATTGAAATTTGAATTTCCAACTTAATATTGAAAAAAAAATATATTGAGAAATTGAAATTAATATTGGGACAATATCGAACATGACTTTTTTCCCCAAACCATTTTCATTCAAAATATTAAAAGTTCATTTATTAATTTGTACATGACAGATTTTTTTTTAATTTTTACTTTTTTTCTGCAATATTGAAAACATTGCTAACAAAGTCTATTATCTACTAATCTGTTTCCATATTTAGTAGATAGTAATCCTTTATTAGCGAATTTTGTATAATAAAAAAATTAAAATTGAAATGCTGAAAAACAATATCTTAAAAAAGAAAAAAATCCTGCCAATTACACGCAGATTTCATCGATTTGTATCTAAAAACAAGTAGAAAAGTATAGTCAACACCGACACCACTGAGTATGTTAAAAATGTGGATTATATTTAATAGCAAAGCATTTAAGTTGTTTACCTTAATTCCGAAATATTTTAACAATTTGTTTTCTAAAAGAGAGGTTATATGGGAGCAAGGGTAAATATGGGCCTATCCTTATAAATTTTGGTACATGGCTTTACGTTTACATTAGAGTTATGTATGCTGGATTTCATCGTGATACTAGTGTTTATTAGTGAATTATTGACCTTGAACTCATTTTCTCAAGGGGACTTTGTATGGGGGCTCGGGCCAAATAAAGTCCGATAATTATAAAAATTGGTAGTATTATTAAGACGTATATAGAACTAAGTTTTGCCGATTTTTGTAGAGATACTACAATATTTAACATAATTATGAACTCAAAAGCCCTTTCCGGGGTGGGGTTGTATGGGCGCTAGGTGAAATAATGGACCGATTTCACCTAGCCCCCACGTTCACCTGTACCTTGCGCACAAGGTTTACATGGACAGCCAGCCAGCCGGACGGACATTAATCGACTCAGAGAGTGATTCTGAGTCGATCGGTATACTTTAAGGTGGGTGTAGGACCAATATTTTTATAATCATAAAGAAATAGAAAATTTTCATAAGAAAATTTCAAACCTTTTTTTAACAAATAGAAAATAAAAATATATTTGAAATATTTTAAGTCAATGCTTCTAGATTGTTTGAAAAAATAAAAATTAAAAAATTCATACAATTTAGGAACTTATTTTCAAATATTATTAACTTTTAAACAGTTCATAATATTTATGCTCATAATTTTTTCTGTGCTATTTAAAACATTTATAAGAAAAATATTTTCAAATAATTCCATACAAAGACTGTGTGCCAAACGGCAGCAAAGTTCTATGGTAAAATAACATTTTCTTATGGTGGAAAATATTATCACTTTTGCTGTGCCAAACGAACTCTTTTTTGATTACATTAAATTTTGACAATTGTCACTAATTTCACAAGAAAATCTGCATTTATTTTAATAAAAGAAACACTTTTATTGATTTTTTTATTTTTAAAATAAATTTCTACAATCACAAATGTATTACAAACTAAAATTATAAAATATTATATTTTTTGTATTTTCAAATTTTTCTTTTCAATTGTCAAAAATTTATGTATCCCGATGAGCTAGTAAAATTTTATTCACCTCATATCTATCAAAAATTTACTTTTTCAAGTAAATTGTTACCGATTGGCACACACTCAAATTTTAAATTTCTCATTATCATAGTTAATATCTCAATTTCAATTTCTTAATATAATGTTGGAATTCTGAATTTTAGTTTGTTTTTTCTCGATGTTAATTTGCATTTCTTAATTTAATTTTATTATTTCGCAATATTAATTTGGATTTCTCATTTTCAAATAGGTTTTTCTCAATATTAATTTAAATTTCTGAACTTTAATTTATATTTTCTAAATTTTAGTTTGTAATTCTCAATATGAATTCGTATTTTCTCAATTTAAATCCTCTTCTATGTAAAGAAATTAAGTTAATTAATTTTATGTTTTTGAGATTTTTCAACGAGTTCTAGAATTCATACGTTCCAATGAACTAGTGTATAACTATGTATTGCTGAAGAACTTATTAGAAATACTTTAGAAACACAACACTGCTCCTCAAAGCTGGATGTAGAAGTAAAGGCGACATCATTATTTTCAAGATTTCTTTTCAGAACTCTGAAATGTTTCTACATGAACCCATTCTAGAAGTAGGTAAATCAGAACAACTTATTACAATGTTTCTGAAATATTGTTATAAAAATCATCAAATAATAAAATTTTATATTATTAAAATATAATTTTCAAACATTTTACATAAAATAAAGGAAATTTACAAACTTTTCCTTCCAAATCGGATAAATAGTGAATGACAGTAGACCCATGCGTGAGTGACTTAAATAATAAATTAAAACATTTAAATTTTTTCAAATACTATGTTTGACTCACTCATTGTTTTATTACAATAATCAGTTCAAACGATACAATTAATGAGAGTGTTTGTGTGATTTAAATCAAGTAGTATACAGTGAGTGAATCGAATGAAAGCAAAAAAATTTAAGTTCGACAAATTTAATTTTTTTCATATTAAACCTAACCTATTGGCCAAAATTGCAAACTTTCATTTTTTTTAGTTTCTTGGGCCCAAAGAATAATTTAAGAGCATAAATACAATTACAAAAATACACCACATCGTGAATTGGGCTAATAAGCTGAATGCAAAGCAATGATTATATATATATATATATATATATATATATATATATATATAATTTAATTTAATTTAAGAGCATAAATACAATTACAAAAATACACCACATCGTGAATTGGGCTAATAAGCTGAATACAAAGCAATGATTATATATATATATATATATATATATATATATATATATATATATATATATATATATATATATATATATATATATATATTCATTTTGTGTCGAAAGAATCATTGTAAAGTAGAAATTTGTACCCGCTTATGGCCTATAGGCTAGGATATTGAATATTGTTAAACAAAATAAATAAATAATATTGATTGACAAAATTAAGTTAAAATCGACGGAATGGATATTTATATTTAAAATTAACTGGATTAATGTATTGGAGATGAATGAAGGGTTACCTCTGTTTCGGAAATATGTATATTATATTAGTCCTTTCAAACGTGAACGCTTTTGCTCATAATTTGACAAACTTAAATTTGCGATAAACTTGTCATTGAATTATAAAATGTGGCCTAACTTTAACCTATACAGGGAATAAAAATTACAAATCACCTAATATTTTACATTATAAAAGTGATACAATAAATTTGTATATATATATATATATATATATATATATATATATATATATATATATATATATATATATATATTCATTTTGTGTCGAAAGAATCATTGTAAAGTAGAAATTTGTACCCGCTTATGGCCTATAGGCTAGGATATTGAATATTGTTAAACAAAATAAATAAATAATATTGATTGACAAAATTAAGTTAAAATCGACGGAATGGATATTTATATTTAAAATTAACTGGATTAATGTGTGGCCTAACTTTAACCTATACAGGGAATAAAAATTACAAATCACCTAATATTTTACATTATAAAAGTGATACAATAAATTTGTAGAACCTAGCTTCGTCCTGAGAAACAACCAAACAAATTTAATTCAGAAAGTCACCAACAAATCTGGGATTGTTGAGAAAAATTGTGTATTTTAGTATTTGTGAAAAGTTTGGAGATATTTTCTAGCATATATAAAAAAGAATATTGTTTATTCATGGTTTTTTCGTTCGTCTTCGCGGAGCTACGGAGCACTAGACTATGACCCCGTGTCTATATCAGACAAATATTTATCAATGTATAGGGGAAACAAAATGCTGATTTTATCACGACGAGTCACAGATAATTTTACTGAAATATTAGTATCAATTTTTCAAATAAATAAAAAAAAAACTACAGGTCGCAATTTTTAAGATAATTCAATGAAATTTGGTGCATGATGGTTAACATCGGTCCATTATCTCACCTAGCCCCCATACAACTGAACCCCCGAATAGAGCTAGTTAACCTTGTAATCAAACTACAGGTCGCAATTTTGAAAATAATTCAATGAAATTTGGCACATGATCTTCTATGCTACCGGAGACGAAGCCTGTAGATGGTTAACATCGGTCCATTATTTCACCTAGCCCCCATGCAACTGAACCAGACGAATAGGGCTTTTAAGTTCATAATTATGTTTAATATACTCGTATCTCGACAAAAAGCTGCAAAACCAAGTTCTATACTAGCCTTTATGATCTCATTAATTTTATGATTATAGGGCCTCATTTGACCATAGCCCCTATTCAAAGCCCCCTTCAAAATTTGACTTTAATTTCCACAATTTTATTCAACAATAAATGGCTTAAGTATAATTCAAGGCAAGGAACAATTAACTTAAATGCTTTATTATGAAAACTAAATCTAATTTTTTTGTAACAGGTGTATGGTATTATATGGTCGGCCTCGCCCGACTATAATTTCTTACTTGTT